GCCCTAAGAACTATAAAATTGATTTAGGCGAAGTTAACTAGGTATTCTAGTATACATATTTCTATATAGGTAGTTCCTTTGGGTTAGCTTGTAAAAAATTGTGAAATTGAAAACTTTAGTGAAAACCTCGGTGAAAACACTATCAATAATTCAGCTTTGTCTTATTTTTAGCTGGAAACCTTTGTACAATCAAACCCACAAATATTGTGTTGAATGAATTTAACATTACCCTGTCGGAGAAAGAGGATACTGACGATATAGAGCAATGCCAATCTGCACCATCTTTAGCCATTGACCACGTAGAACCCGTTGCATCATTATCCACCAACCCGAACAATCAACCATGTGATGGAAATGTCCCAAATAAAAGAGGAAAATGGTCCAAAAATGCAATTTTAATGCTGATAAATTTAAGAATTGAACATAATACTGATTTTACTTCCACCACACAGAAAAATGATGTTACATGGAAACTAATATCAAATAAAATGAAAGCAAATGGTTTTGAAATGACACCCACGCAATGCAATGATAAGTGGCGCTATTTGAAAGGAAAGTATACGGCAGCGAAAGACAATCGGGGAGACAAAGGATCTGGACAAGAACCAGTTGATTTTCCATATTATCAAATAATGGACGAGTTTCTTGGAAAAAAACACAATATAAAACCTATTGCGGTTGCCTCTTCAATAAGAGGAGACACAGGTACCTACCTACATATTTCTAACTTTATATTTTACTAAACTCTAAACTCTACCTCACATTGTGTCAAACGTATCACTTTTCATATTAATTTGTCATATTTCTTCTCCAAATTATCATTATGGTATTATTTATGCATACAAAAATTACAATTTTGTTTTGGTCATAAAAAGCAGCAGTAAAAGGTAGCAGAAGCAGTATCCAGTGAATTATGTAAGTCACATGAAATTAAATATATATTTTATTAAATTTTAGTGCCAAATGAAAATGCAGCAGGTTCCACGGATGCATTGCAAGAAGATGGCGATCAGGATGTTTCAAATGAAGCATCCTTGGAGGCACCAAGGAAAAAAATGAAGATGGAAATTGTCCCAAGAGTAAAGCAGAATAAAACTGGACTTTGTTCTGTTTGGGATGAGATGAAAAATTCTCGAGGAGCAAGGGAACAAAGTAAAGAACGCAGGCATCAAGAGTTATTAAATGTTAGAAATCGAGCAATTGATGTTTTTTCCGAAAAAATGGACCAATTTATTGAAAAATGTACTAAATAATTCAGTTGACTGGTAGGTCTCAGTTTGATACATTGTATTTGTATTGTATTGTACTTTTTCATGGAGTATTTTGCTCACATTCCTAAACTACGGAAGCTTTGAAAGATCAAAATTCAGAAGCACTCATTATCTCGGGATTAATTCTGATATATAGAACATAAGTCAAGAATAATCCCGACCTAGAAGCCCTATCTCAGGATTAATCCTGAGATAGGGCCCAGTTGTACAATCCTGGTTCAAAACAGAGCTTAGTTAAACTCGACTGGTACTTAAACTTTTTCATTTAAAATACATTGTTGTCAGATATTTATAAAATTCTATCTAGCTAAGCTCTGTTTTGAACCAGGATTATACAACTGGGCCTAAAGTCGACATTAATCTCGACTGATAAATTATCTCAGAATTAATCCGAAGATAATGCTCCTGTTGGGATTAATCCTGATTTGAAAAATAAGTCAGGATTATTCCTGAGATAAATTTGTGAGATCATCTCAGGAATAATCCCTACTTTTTTTACCTACTTATCAAAAAGGTGTAAATGCACATTTAGGCCAAGCAATGGGTAGATTTGCCTGGAAAAAAATACAGGAGTTTTCAAAATTTGTAGATTAGCACCACTTTATAACCTGAATAACATATTAAGTTTGCGACCTCGACACGCCGCCGCTCGCACCACCATATTGTAAAGATGGAGCCAAAAATCAGTTTTTTCGGAGTATCTTTTTTTCAGTAGGCCCTACGTAAATAATAGTCATTACAAGAGTATAGAGGGGAAAATTTCCTACAACTTTCCTTCATTACATTTTTCCGTGCGATCAATAGTTCAGGAGTTATATTGATATAAGTGATGGCAAATTATTTAAATCAATGAAATACATTTGCTTGCAGCTCGCCACTGCACTTGTTTTCCATATTGAGGATATTGAGATTATATCATGACTTTTATTTTATTTAGGGGATACTTGGGACCCCCTTTAGACCGTCGTTACAAAAAAAAATCGAAAAAAAAAATAATTAATTTTTTCGTCAAAAAAATTCCAAGCCTTGATTTTTTTTTCTTTTGAATTTTCAAAACGTCATAACTCGGAAAAGAGAGGTCTGAGAGAAAAATTTTAAATACAAATCTTGTAGATCTCATTGAGGACTACAAAATTGCTCATTAGAGTTACCCCTCTACGGGGCACCGTTTTCGAGAAAATCGACCTCGAAAATTTTGACAAATTTTCAAAAAATTTCAAGTTTGACGGCGAGCGGCGGCTTCCCAAGGTCGCAAATGAAGTATGTTGCTTAGGTCATACACCTATACTTGCCAGCCAAGTTTCAAAACTCCTGTATTTTTTTCCAGGCAAAGCACTTTTGAGCACCCCATTGCTTGGCCTAATTTGTATTTACACTTTTTTGATTACCTATTCAATCAACCTGTTCAGGTGGGGTGTAAAAATATAGGAGAAAACCCTGTACCTAAATTTTGAGCCTTTAAAGCTTCTTTACTAAACAGAGATAGGTATATTTTTTTAATTCAAGACAACCATACTTTTATCTAGTAAGATTAGTAGATAATAATATATTTATTTAGGTATGGTATGATGTACTGTAATAAGTGGTTTTTAGGTTGTATTGTTATATAGGTACTGGTGCAATAACCTGATTTAATAAACTTTTGTTTTGTCATATACAGGGTGTCATTGAAATGATGTAAAAAATTTTGGGGGATGATAGTACCTACTCATAAAACTGGCGAAAAAAAATCCTATAAGTATGGGTTCTAAAATGCATATTAGGGGGCATAGAAACCCCTCACCCTTGGGAAAAAATACCCTTTCCGATTCAACAAATTATTTTTTGACATCATCATTTGATGGACAAAAAGTATGCTAGCTCGGATTTCTTCATAAAATTTATCTCGTTTTTTAAACCAATTTCAAAAAAACGATTTTTTTATTTATTTTCTTAACACTTTTACGAGCCATACTTATAGGAACTTTTTTTTACCAGTTTTATGAGTACTACCACCCTCCAAATCTTTTTACACCATTTCAATCAATAACAACCTGTGTGAGTAGGGTTCATTAAAAATAAAAATCAGATATTTGCAAGTTATGTTTATTAAATGATATAAAAATTGTAACGTGTTATTAATGTCTATTTCTATTTAAATACAGATTCCTGCAGATATCATTTCTCATATTTCTTCCTTCCTCTTCTTGTATTCTACCTTCTATAGCAACATTAACCTCGTCTTCATTAATTACATTATTGGCACCTTCTTGAATATAATCATTAACCTGATGATCCACCTGAGTCAAACAAATGTTGTGTAATACACATGCAGCTAATACTGTTCCTGGAATGAGATCATTTCTGTTCATGTCTAGGAATTTGAGTCTTCGAAATCTCCCAAATAATAATGCAAAAGCTCTTTCAATGACCTGTCGAGTTTTTGCATGAACAATATTGAAATAAGTTTGGGCTGGAGTTAATTGTCCTCTATTTATAAATGGAGAAATGCACCATGATAATAATGGATAAGCTTTATCTCCGATGATAAATGTATTATTCGGACAATACCTGCCACGATTGTTCCTTATTGCTCTATAGATATCAGAGTTCTTAAAAATTCTAGTATCACTGACTGAGCCTGGATAACCTATAAATGCATCTATGAATAATAGATCTGAATCTGCAACTGCTTGCAAGGTGAAAGCATAATTGCACTTCCTTGTAATATAGGACTGAGGGTCTTCTTTTGGGGCTTTAATTTGTATATATGTGCCATCTACGGCTCCTATAACATTTTCCAATTGAGCAATGTTACCAAATTTTCTCTTAATTTGGTTGAGCCTTTCTCCTTCTGGCCATTTTATAACTCGAGTAGCGAGGGAATTAAGTACTTTAATCACTCTTAAAAAACAGACTGATAGGGTAGATTTGGCAATGTTAAAACGTTCTCCAACTGATCTAAAAAATGAGAAAAAAAAATGGAAATGAAATAGGTTTAATACATTTTTGGTTCCTGTGAATTCAATACCTACCTATATGAGTCTGGAGTTGCTAAAAGCCACAAAACAGCTAGTAACTGTTTCTCTGGATTCACTGTAGATCTTCCAACAACCGTTCTACGAGACAGTTCTAACCCAATCATACCCAAAAGATGTTCATAAGCATCTATAGTAACTCTAAAATGTTGCTGGAATTGTTGGCGAGTTAAGCTGGGAACTATTTCTTCGAAGTATTCTGAAATTCTGCATGGTTTAGCCAACTTCCGTTTTTTGGAAAGAAATAGCATTTCATATTCTTCTTCACTCGTCTCCGACTCATCACTTTCACTGTCGGACATAGATACGGGAATTTCAAATAAATTTTGCACAGATGGAAGAAAAATACGGCAGAAGAAGGCCATTGTGAGAATTTTACAAAAACTGAACAAACTAATTTCAAAATAACAATTTGAATAAGAATAAACTACTATAGATTAGATTAATTTAAATGTTTACAATTTTTACAAATTTGACGTTTGTCATATGACATCATAAATATTTCACAAATGCGTTCATAAAAGACTTCGCGCTCTCGACACTCTGTGTGAAATAATAGCACACACTCCGTAGACACACGCTCGCACCCACACCAACGACATTTTCTTTTATGAACGCACTCCAGGTCATCTAATCACTGTCACTTTCATGTTTTCGTTTCTTTCCTTTTCCTGTATTGTCCACTGATGTTTTTAATAGAGCCATGATCTCCTCATGCCTTTGAACTGACGTTTTTTCAAGATAGGTCATTATCCTATTGAATTCAGTTTTTCTTTCATCTACATCGGTTTTTTGTACCTGAATCATTTCTTCGAATAATGTATGTTTGTCTTTGGGCTTTGAAGAGGATCTGATACTAGCAAATTTATTTTTTTCATAATTTGCTTCTGGATTTGAAGTGGATGGCAGTTCGTGTAGTGGCGTTTTTTTATGTGGAATTGCTTTATTTTCTTTATCATCACTTTTTTTTTCAGTTATTATTAATTTGTCACTACTATCGATCAGTAATTGTGGAGTAATTTTGTCCTTAAACCCAAGAATTTCATCTAATTCATCATAGAAGGGAGGTTTACAAATATATCCTTCCCCTGTCCCTTTCTTTTTATCCTTGTACTTCACGTAACTTGCTTGAAGGTTGGCAAATTTTTTTCTACATTTCTCTGCTCCTTCAAGTCCTTGGCCAACGAAAAAGTTTTTTTCATTCAGCTTTTTTGCGATTTGCTGCCACAATGTATTCTTGCTGTGCTTCCGATCATCAAACTGATTGCTCATTTCTTTTCTCAACTCCAATAAATATGTTGTGGCCTGCACATCTGTTGAAAGAGGCTTTCGCGAAGACCACATCAATATTTCACCACCTCCTGAATGTTCATTGCTTTCAGTGTCTTCTTGGTTACTATCTAAGTTTAGGGTTGAAGGAACCTTGAAAAATAAAAATATTACTTTATAAAAACCATAAAAACTGTGACCTATGAAGAAGAATTGGAAAATAGGATTGTATTATTGTCTACCTATACTTACAGTTGAGTCCATACAACTAGTGCTAGGAGTAACAGGACTATTCGTAGAACTGGTAGAAGGTCAGTGCACTTTAAGGGCTTTTTCGTAATTTTCTTTAAATACTGAATCGTCTGAAATTAAAAAAATGTTTAAAGCCCCTGGGTAACACACTACTCCGCGAATATGGAACATAATTTTTAATTCTAAGGTATATATTTATTAAATTTTGCATTTTCTTGTCTCTTTTTACTTACTTGCCAATAACAAGGCTGTGTCGAGGTCTACCTCCAGTTCTATACCGTTTAGGTTCACTTGATACATTTCGCCGGACTCCATTTCCATAGTCGAATAATCCCAAAAATATTTATTTTAAATTTTAAAGACGAAATTTAAATACATGTACGATCACAACAACATAAACACTGGTAAATTACCGCCATTTTTTCATTTTCATGTACTGTCAATCCCCACTCCCTCGCTCAAGATTTTTGTGGCGTGCTTTGGAGGGCGCCCAAAAAATCTTCAAGCTGCTTAAAGACTGACGTCACGTCTTGTCCGCGAAAATGACAGTTCTACTAGTCGCTTAGTGCGTCTTATCCGCAAAAATATGGCTCTAGTAAACGACATTAAAATCTTCAGAGACCAATGTCTAAAAAATGCCGACGATTGTGCTAAAATATTTATGGAACAAAAAGATGATTCCAAAACATACAAACTACTTGTAAATTGCTCCTTAGCGTTGCTTATTCTGTTTAATAGGCGACGAATTGGTGATGTCCAATTCCTGAAAATTGGAGATTATAAAAAAGACCAGCGCAGTAATTCTGTTCCAGAATTTGAAAATGCATTATCAAAAACGGAACGAATGCTAACTACCAAATATAAACGTGTATTAAACAGCGGAAAAGGCTCTAGGGCTGTAGTTATTTTATTTCCGGAGATTCTACAAAATTATGTAAATATACTACTGAACAATAGAGAAAAGTATATTCCTTCAGATAATGATTACGTTTTTGCTATTCCCGGGAGCAGCATTCCTTGGGGCAAAGGAGACGTTGCCATTCGATCTCTTGCAAGTAAAATGAATCTGGAGAACCCACATGTAATGACAAGTAACAAATTGAGAAAGCATATAGCAACTGTAATGCAAATACTTAGTTTATCTAAGGACGAAGCCAGGCAATTCTCGCAATTTATGGGTCACACAGAAAAAACACATCAAGAATTTTACGAGTAAGTGCACAACAGGAAACATGAATAATCTACAGCATTTTGCTAAGTTTATGATTTTCGATATAATTAATAGGTTACCGGTAGATATTTATCAAACCGCAAAGGTGTCCAAGATTTTACTCATGATGGAAAAAGGGACAATTCCTGTAGACTACAAAGGAAAGTCACTAGCTGAAATAAATTTTGACTTGAATTTGGAATATGCTGAAGAAAATAATGATGGTAAGTGTGTCAAAAATATTTATTGCTTATTTTGTTTAAAATTTCAACTAAAAATTTATAACATGAAAAATTAAATTTTAATCAAAATTTTCTTAAAAATGCTCTAAGTATCAATACCATTAGCTGATGACGATGGTGAAATACTTCTGAATAACTCAGTACATGTGACTTCTGAAGAAATGTTTGAGTCGGCGGGGCCCTCCAACAACCACTTTGTGAGAAAGGAAAATAAGAAAATTGAGTGTAAGTTAAACATACCTTCAGCATGCTGCTGATCTAGATAGGTTACTAATTGCTTTTATATTTCATAGCTTCTACTGAAATTGAAAACGATGGCCTTTATGACCTATCTAACAAAAGAACAGCCAGAATTCCCAAACGTAGGACTATTGCTACAAAACCAGGTAGGTTTCCAATAAACTAGATTCTGAATAGATAACTGCTTGCTTTGATAACATCTTCTGTAGATTCCGATACTGATGAAAGCAGTGATGACGATATTGGTAGCCTTGCTGTAAAACCAATCTCTAAAAATATGAAAGGTCCAAAAAGTATAAACAAAAAAGGTACGTACATTAGAATCAAAAATAGGTAGAGATAACTAGGAACTTACGTTTATTTTAGAAGCCAGAATTCCTAAACGTAGGACGATCGATACAAAAACAGGTAGGTATCTAATAAAATAGAATCTAAATAGATAATTGCTTGCTTTGATAACCTCTCCCGCAGATTCCGATACTGATATAAGCAGTGATGACGATATTAGCAGCATTGCTGAAAAACCAATATCTAAAAAGAAGAGAGGCCCAAAAACTATAACCAAAAAAGGTACGTACAGGTAGAAACAAAAATAGGTACAGATAACTAAAAACTTAAATAATCTTAGGATGGACTACAGCTGAAGTTGAGGCTCTACAGTCGGAATTTGGTTCAAGCATAAGGAAAAAAGTATATTCAACAGGACAACAAATAAAAGATTTCATACTGAAGAAAAATATAAGTCGAACCGTTACAGTTATAAAATCGAAACTACAACATCTTATGAAACTTGGGAATAAAAATTAGCAGTTATATGTATGTAACACATTTTTTGCAGTTTGATACCTTTTCCAATTTTTTGTTCAATTTTTTAGAGTGCAGGTTATTTTTATTTTTCGTTTTATTTTGTGAAAAGTATCATTTTTGATTTTAAAGCTCTACTGGATAATTTATCAGTGAAGGATTATTGGAAGTAGTGTTCGCCTGTTATTTTTTATACTTTATCTACTTAGTTTGCTGTATCCATATAGGTACTCAATTAAAACCTTTTATGAGCTCTAAGCCCGAGTTTATTTTTATATTCAAGATAAACATAAATATAATAGACATTGTTTTGAAGAATTTCAGTCTTTATCAAAAATATGGTGCGAAATGTACCGATTTTTGACAAATACTGAAATACCTACCTAGTTATATAAAATGCCTACCGCGCGGATAATCAGGTGTCTATATGACCTCCGTTTATGTGGCAACACCGTCGGAGGCAACAAGGACAACTAGGTGTACGCACATATACAGATTTCGGAGGTCACACCGTACTTTCTGTGCTACCCTTATATGACCTTTTTGGAATTCAAAAATCTTTTCCCCTCTAAAGGAATTTGGATTAGTTATCATTTTAAGATCTCATATATATTTTTTTTGTCAATGTAGCTCAAGCGGAAAACCTGGAGGCCAGGTCGCCTTTTCCATATGCTGGAGGTGACAAGATACCGCGCATCAATATATATATATATATATATATATATATATATATATATATATATATATATATATATATATATATATATTGATGCGCGGTATCTTGTCACCTCATATATATATATATATATATATATATATATATATATATATATATATATATATTGATGCGCGGTATCTTGTCACCTCCAGCATATGGAAAAGGCGACCTGGCCTCCAGGTTTTCCGCTTGAGCTACATTGACAAAAAAAATATATATGAGATCTTAAAATGATAACTAATCCAAATTCCTTTAGAGGGGAAAAGATTTTTGAATTCCAAAAAGGTCATATAAGGGTAGCACAGAAAGTACGGTGTGACCTCCGAAATCTGTATATGTGCGTACACCTAGTTGTACACCTATATATATATATATATATATATATATATATATATATATATATATATATATATATATATATATTGTTTCAACCATCGTTCTCAAGCCCGATATATGTAACAGACAACCTCAGACCCACCAGAATAAATATGATTCTAGATGTATATAATGCGTCACTGTTACATACTAACTGCAAAGAAATAGGAACACATGTGAGGGGTAAACATTTATGGAAAAAATATTTTTTTATTATTCAATAAACGCTAACAGACCCAATATATGGAACAGACTTTTCGAACCCGTAATTACACATATCATATATCTAAACAACGTTATCAGGCCCGGCAATGTTGCCATTTCTATCGGTCCTAGATTGGGCGCGAAAAGTCGTTATAATAATATATCAACGATCGTGTATGCATTTCATTCTTAATGCGACGGTTATACTATTTGTGATAGTGCAACGTGCAAAATATTTCGGTTACACGAGACTATTCTGAGTAAGTACCTTTTTGCTATGTTTATAAATATTTAAAAATTGTACCTACAAATAATTATTAACCATTTCAGTAAGATTGAAAAAAAAAACAATAAAATAGCACATATTTTTTGAAATAAAAAAGTACCTATATTTTCATATTTTTCCTAAACCTCACATTTCCTGTGTGTATTTTATTTTATTTTCTACATATTAAGATTTTTTAGAAAAGGGTTCCCTAATTAATCACGATTGTGCTCAAACCGCTTGACGTGAAAAGCTGAATTTTGGCATACAGGTTGATTGTAGGGTGTAGAGTTTCGATAGGAAGGGATTTTTCCAAACTCAAATTTCAAGGGGATGAAACCACCCCATAAATACTACATTATTTTTTTATCAGAAAAACGGTTAGTTTTTCGGAAAAACGCCTGAAGACGTGTATTTTATTTAATTTTTTTACATATTCTAAGATTTTGAAAAATGTATATAGGGTGTTTCAAAAAATTCGGTTCATTAATTAATCACGATCCTGCTCAAACTGCTTGACGTAAAAAGCTGAATTTTGGCATACAGGTTGAGTGTAAGGTGTTGAGGTTCAATAAGAAAGGATTTCTCAAAAACTGAAATAATTTGGGGGTAGGGGTGGTTGAGGGTGTGTAAAGGGGATAAATTCATAATTGAAACAGATACCAACATGCGGTTTTCAGATTTATGATTTGATGTGGTTACGTAACAAATATAATTTTATGAAAAAAAAGGGGGTAGGGGGTGGTTGAGCGGGACGCTAAGGGGAGAAATGCATAATGGAAGCTAAACAGATACGAACATGCGGTTTTCAGATTTTTGATTTGATCTGGTTACAAATATAGTTTTATGAAAAAAAAGGGAGTAGGGGGTTGTTGAGGGGGGTGTAAAGGGGAGAAATTCATAACTTTGGAACTAAAACAGATACGATAATGCGGTTTTCAGATTTGCGATTTAATCTGGTGACAATATAATTTAATGCAAAAAAAAAAAAAAAACAAGGGGCAGGTGGGGTGTAGGGGGTGTAAAGGGGAGAAATTCATCATTTTGGAACCAAAAGAGATACGAACATGCGGTTTTCACATTCACATGATTTGAACCTTCTAATAATGAGGCATTAAATGAACTAAATATAATGAGAAATATTAAGTAACGTAATAAAAATTAAAAACTTGAAAACAAAATAAGTAAAAAAAAGTTTTTAAGTTAAACGTTTTTATTGAAAATAATACTAATATTCGAGTTAATACTAAATAATAATAATACTAAAAAGTTAAAAAATAATTCGGTAGGTCCTACCTAGGTACTAGTCATCACAACACCCTTATCATTAATCTAGGGCAATGATCAGACAACAAAATTAAATCGTTGGGCGCGTGAAATTTCTATCGATAGTCAACCGGTCATTTCGTTATAAATTATATTTACATACATACTATTGATAGAAATTTCACGCGTACAACGATTTTATTTTTTTGTCTGATTAATGATGAGAGTGGTGTGATGACTAGTACCTAGGACCTACCGAATTATTTTTTAACTTTTTAGTATTATTATTATTATTTAGTATTAACTCGAGTATAAGTATTATTTTCAATAAAACCGTTTAACTTAAAAACATTTTTTTACTTATTTTATTTAAGATTTGAATTCTCACGACTATATTCATATTATTACTTACTACTGATTGATAAATACAACATTTAAAATATCTGCAATATTTGCAATTTACAGACACATAAAATGGCTACTAGAGCAGCTAAAATTCTGAAATTATTGTCTAGTGAACAAAAAAACTCATTGGAGCTTCCACTTCCAAAATATAAATCGAAAAGGGATTGTACAAAAGAAAAGCGATTAATGGCATACAAAGACGAACCACTTGTTGGAGGTAAAGAAATAGTAGCCCCTGAATCTACAAATCAAATATTTGAGCAAAGTTTGCAAAATACGGAGCAGGAATGTTATGTAAATGAGCCTACCTGTATCGAAGAAAAAAAACAGAATAACTGCAAATCAGATGATTATCAAACGGAAGAGGAATTATTTGAATCTTCCGGTAGCGAATATATTCCAGACACGACTGATCATGATGAAACCGATGAAAATAGTAATATTTCGCTTTTAAGTCAAATAGTTATGGCGATACCAGAGGAAAATGAATCTTCCTTCACCTGCAACAGAGGAATAGAAAATCGAAATATTTGTAAGTATAAATTACCTATATTAAAACCAATTTTCTATCTACTTTTTTAGTAAATTGAAAATTGGTTATGTTGGGGTCTTCTAGCTCTAGAAATATACAGGGTGTCAATTCGAAAACTTCCACCCCTATTATCTCGGAGTAGAAAAATTTTCGGGGATAATACCACGAGAGCTTCAAAATTATCTAGTCCATTTTAAAACTCGAGTGGTATTTAGAGGATTATTTCACGAATGAAAATGCAAAAAATATGGAAATAAATAGGTATGTTGCTAACAGCATCCATTTGTTTGTATTGATATTGATTGATATAAGATAACATGGGAGAATTATCGCTGCCATTCTCTCTAGTTAAACTTATGGGAATATGGGAAAAAGAATTTTCGCTAAAATCGTCACTTGTCTTATGGGATTTCTAGCACATGAGTGGAATAATCGGAAAAATCCCTGAAACACGTCAACTATAATTTGAAGGGGGATGAGTTTTTATGAAAAATTCACCTCCCCTCTTTCAACCCACCAGCCCCCAGAGCCACCCTCTAGAAAATCCTAAATGGGAAGGGGGGGTCAAGTAATACATCATTTTGTAGGGTTTTTAATTCCATACATTTTGGTACCAAATTTCAATACCTAAGTTCAACTGTTTTGGAAATATTGACAGTTGGAAATTGACTTTTTTGCAACTTTGAAAGGCTGTAAAACCTAAACGGTTAGTTTTAGAGGAAAACCGTTCTTACATTCTTATCTTAGATTCTCATAAACTATCATTTAAAATCAACTTTGAATTTAACCGGAGATTAAATTTAATTGGAATTTTCAATCATGAATTAAATTTAAAGTTGGTGTCAAATGATAACCTATGAAAATCTAAGACAGAATGTAAGATCGGTTTTCCTCTAAAATTAAGTTTAGGTTTAGGTTTTACAGCTTGCCAAAATTGGAAAAAAGTCAATTTTTAACTGTCAGTATTTCCAAAACAGTTGAACTTAGGTATTGAAATTTAGTACCAAAATGTATGGAATTAAAAACCCTGCAAAATGATGTATTACTTAACCCCCTTCCCATTTAAGATTTTCTAGGGGGTGGCTCTGGGGGCTGGGGGATTGAAAGAAGGGAGGTGAATTTTTCATAAAAACCCATCCCCCTTCAAATAATAGTTGACGTGTTTCAGGGATTTTTTCGAAAATTTTTCTACTCCGAGATAATAGGGGTGGAAGTTTTAAAAATAAACACCCTGTATATTATAAAAGTTATTTGCCAATAGTCACATCAAAGAGACGTCACCACTTAGACATAGCTCTTTTACCTTTCACTAATATTATTTATTCATGTTTATGTTGTCCATGCCATATTAGTGATTACTTCAATCATTCGCTATTTGTGATATTTGTTTTAATGATAATTTTGTAAATACATACTATATGATTTGATATAGGTACCACTGTGTCTAAAAAAAAATCATTTTTTAGCAAATATAGGAAATGAAGCAAATTCTTCCAGGGGCAATAAACAAATTAATAATGACGAATCCTTGCCCAGTAATGTAAGTAAAAAATTATCAACATTTAGACAATAAAAAAAAATATATTTCTATTCGCAGATATCAACGCTACTGCTCGATTTATCCAGTGAAGAAAAGGTATTTTGTTATCTTCAAAATTGTAAAGAAACTCAAGATTTGGACCCATATGAATTCAGCGTAGAAGGACCTGTGGATAAATCATATAATAATATTATTGAAAAAAGCCTTTGCTACCTCCCCTATCTAGATATCGTGGATCCTGCAACTATTAGAAATAAAAAAGAAAAAATTATTAGTTTGACTAAAGATAATGAGAAGGACCAACTAGAATCTGCACATGACAGCCAGTTAATTTCTCCAAATGCTGAAACAATGGACTTAACAAACCAAACAATGGACTTAACAAACCAAACAATGGACTTAACAAACCAAACAATGGACTTAACAAACCAAACAATGGACTTAACAAACCAAACAATGGACTTACCAAACCAAACAATGGACTTACCAAACCAAGTGCAGATTACAAATAATTCTGAATCGATTGAGAATAAAGCAACATCTATATGTATAACAGAACATGCCACCCGGTTCAACGTACAAGTAACAGACCCACAAATATTTACAGCAGCAATTACCAGTAACAATAGTGCTGTCGATATTTGTGCGTTAGAACGCGAAAATCCAGAGGCAAATTCGTGCTTCTCCGATGATGCATCGGATTTATCATGCAATGAAAATTCCGACGAAAGCTATAAACCATCCTCATATCAGTCTAATTCTTCTATTGATGGGGATGGGAAAGATTCCAATAACATGTACTCTGATGAGGACCAAGTGAGTAGAGTTTATGATGTATGCAAGCAAACATTAACATGGCTCATTAAAATAACGATTACTAATAAATTTCAAGGCTCTGCCTCTTTTTTGTTTTTCAGTAAATACGCTTCCGATGCAATTTTTCGTTCATGTAGAATGTATTTTTACATTTTGAAGCACATTTCTAATTTTAGGAAAAGCTTATATCAACAATTCATTTTCCAACTACTTCTACTTCATTGGAAAACACTGAAGCGAACACTGACAAAGACCTTTGCCCATTTTGCTTTGAAGAAGTTGGACATTTTTCACGTCATTTGAAAAGAAAACATTCCGAGGAAGATGCAGTTAAAAAGATCTTAGAAATGAAAAACAATAGTAACGAAAGAAGAGCCGCCATAATAGCTTTGCGAAAAAAGGGCAATTTCATATTAAAAACAGAAAAAAACTTCCTGAAACCCGTGAGAAAAGTTAAAAACCGCAACCAAATCGATGGAGACTATTATCCATGTACCGGATGTTTGGGATACTACAAAAAAACATACTTGTGGAGGCATAAAAAAATCTGCACAGCGACAACTTCTCATAATAAAGATGGTCCAAAAGTCCAACATCTTATTGAAGCCCAAACATTTCTAGCAGCAACTGGTTTACTTGGCAATTATTTGGAAAAAAGCCGGCTGAAGGCAGAAGTCTTTCCAATAATGCGAGCCGATGAGATAAGTTATACTGCCAAAAAAGATGCATTAATATGTCTTTACGGTGAATCTTATTTGAACAAGCACAAAAGAAAGCAAATGACCGTTGTTACCTCAAACAGATTACGAGAAATAGCCCGACTTAAATTAGCATTACAAAAATTTACCACTATTGAAAATTGCATTGACTTTTTAAAACCAGAAATGTACGATAATATCATAACTGCATCCAAACTTATTAGTGGCTTTAACAGCGAAACAAAAACATTTAAATCATCATCGTTAGCTCTACATCTGGGAACAAATTTGAAGTTTCTTTGTGACGTTGCCAAAAAGGCTTTAATAACAAGAAATCCTTTATTTCCTCGACTAACTAATACTGAAAAATATGAAAAATTGAAAGACATATCTGAAGTTCGAGACCTAATAAAGAATCACTGGTGCAACGATATATCAAGTTTAGCAAATAAAGTGCTAAATGAGGTCCAGTTAGAAAAACCCAAGTTATTACCACTAACGGAAGATATCAAATGTTTTAATAATTATATTTCCACAAAAGCAATTGAGGCCTATGAGAAGTTGCAAGAAAAAGAAAATGTAACCAATAATTATAAATTGCTTGCTGAGTGTACTCTTTGCCTTGTGTTAGTGTTCAACAGAAAAAGGATTGGCGAAATCCAATTTTTAGATATTCAGTCTTACGAAAAAGATTATTCTTGTTCAAATTCCGAAGAATTTTTGAACGCTCTTACGGAGTTCGAGAAAAATATGAGTTCATGTTTTAAAAGGGTCGTTGTATTTGGAAAGGGAAGTAAACCAGTTCCAATATTATTTACAAAACAGATGCAAACATATATCGGCGCACTCCTTAAAATTCGAAAAGACTATGACATTGTTCCCAAGACAAACAAGTACGTATTTGCAAATCCTGGTTCAGCAGATAGATGCCTGGATCGTACTTAATTCGAAAATTTGCATATAAATGTGGTGCTAATAAGCCACAGCTACTAACATCAACTAAATTCAGAAAACAAATTGCTACAATTCTTCAGCTAATGAATTTTGAGAATGATGAAATGGAACAGATTGCTCGATTTATGGGACATACTGAAAAAACACACAGAGAATTTTACAGGTAAGCATTTATCCTTTATTGATCCATAAACTGTTTTCCTTATTTAATACTTTAGATATTGGTAGTAAGGCATTTGGGCATAGCTGGAAAAAATACTTTTGAAAAGTATTTAAATACTGAATATTAAATACCTAATAAATACTGAAAGTATTTAAATACTAAATACTATTCGACTTGAAAATAAGTATTTAAATAAATTTATTAGGCAAATACTTCATTTAAATACTTTAATAGTTATTTTTGTATCTAGTGCGCGAAATGCTACTTTGGTGATCGAGAACTGATTTTTTTAACGAGGCGCAGCCGAGTTAAAACAATAGTCGAGATCACCAAAGTATTTCGCGCACGAGTTGCAAACAGCATTTTTTCTACAACTCCATTTAAATATCGATCATTGAAAGCCTAAATTGCATTTTCAATCAAAGGCAGGTTAATTTTAATTATTTTTGGTTTCCTGGCAGGTGTCAGGTATTCGACATTTCGCACACTGGAGAATCATTTCGCGCACGGCGCCATGGGAACGTTAAAAAAAAATCTACCTGGGGAAAAAAATGTCACTTCGCAAATTGTCATCAGTGTGCAAACATCATCATTTTTTGACAGTTGTAGAAAATAGTTATTTAAACAACAAGTCTTGAAAACGACTTTTTTCACACGGCGAGACAGTTTATTGGACCGAGCCGAAGGCGAGGTCTACAAGTCGAGCGAGTGTGAAAAAAGGTTTTCAAACGAGTTTTTTTACAATTCTTTTTCTACAACTGCCAAATAAAACAACCAAATACGTATTTTTATTTGTTAGAAAACAAATCATCAACATCAAAAAATAGTGAAAGTCGCAATTTATGTTGTCGTGTCAAAGATAGGACCCAAGACCCAAATAAAATAAAAAATTAATTAGCAGCGTGCAAAAAACTTTTTCACACGCTGAGCAGCGTGTGAAAAACTTCATTTTCAGAGGCAGTCGTAGAAAAAAATTATTTAAATAATTTTATAAGGCAAATACTTTATTCAAATGCTTTAAAAAGTATTTAAATACTTTTATAAGGCGAATACTTTATTCAAATATTTTGAAAAATATTTAAATTCTTATTTATATAATATAAAAATCAATGTTTATGTACCTACTTTTGGAAAGTATTTAAATCCCAAATATTTCAAAAAGTATTTGCATTCACAAATACAAATGGCAGTTTCAACAAAGTATTTAAATACTTTAAAGTATTTTTCCTACAACTGTCTCTGAAAATGGAGTTTTGCACACGCTAGAACCTCTCCTTTTGCGTGCGAAAAAGTTTTTCGCACGCTGCTAATTAGTTTTTGTATATATTTGGGTCCTCTCATCCTGACATGACAACGTCAATTGCGACTGTCACCAGTTTTTGATGTTGATGATTTATATTCTATCAAATAAAAATTACGTATGTGGCTGTTTTATTTTGCAGTTGTAGGAAAAGCATTGTAAAAAACTCGTTTGAAAACCTTTTTTCACACTTGCTCGACTTGTGGACCTCGCCTACGGCTCGGTCCAACAAACTGTCTCGCCGTGTGAAAAAAGTCGTTTTCAAAACTTGTTGTTTAAATAACTATTTTCTACAACTGTCAAAAAAAGTTGATGTTTACACACTGATGACAATTTGCGAAGTGACACTTTTTTTTCCAGGTATTTTTTTTTTAATGTTCCCATGACGCCCTGCGCGAAATGCTTCTCCAGTGTGCGAAATGCCTATTTCGCGCACGGAGTCATGGTGACAAATACCTGACAGGTAATCAGAAATAATTAAAATTCAGCATTTCGCACACTAGATACAAAAATAACTATAAATACTTTAAAGTATTTAAATACTTAAAAGTATTCAGGAATGCAAATAGTCCCAGCTCTGCATTTGGGATGGCTTTTTTTTTTAGATTTTCAACTCCTCCTTACTGCAATACTATTTTGAACTACTTGTCTTCTCTCTGCAAATTTTTCGAAATATTTCATGTCTCCTTTACTTTTTTAAGGCTAACTGAAGACATATACCAAACTGCGAAAGTTGCCAAAGTACTTATATTATTAAACGCAGGTAAAGGAAACGAATTCAAAGGAAAATCTTTAACCGAAATAGAAGTCAATCAACATGTTTTAGAATATGACGACACAGATGACTTATGTGATAAACTTGACAATATTGAAAGCAACCAGCCTGTTGCAACTTTACCTTTAACACGCGCAGATAGTCCCAGTGAGACTACTGATTCAATGTCGGAAAATAAAGCGGAGGTTCCAAAAACAACATCCAAAAAATCGCCTGGAGCGAATGTCTCCAAACTTCGGGGTGGACGTGTACGTTGGACACAACAAGATAAAAATCGCGCAGACAGTCCCAGTGAGACTACTGATTTAATGCTAGAAAATACAACGGAGGTGCCAAAAACAAGAGTCAACAAATTGCCTGAAGCGAATTTCTCCAAACTTCGGGGTGGGCGTGTACGTTGGACTCAAGCGGACAAAAATCTGGTACTAAATTATTTTAAAAAAAATATAAAAGGCAAGTTTGTGCCAAGAAAACAAGATTGCTTAGATTTTATCCGAAAAAATAGTTCATCATTCAAAGATAGTGATTGGGTGCGAATCAAAACGTTGGTATATAACTCTTATAGGATCTAACTTTTTTTATGACATTTACCTTCAATATTTTTATATTTTCATTTATTGATTTCAGTTAATAAATATTATTTCACCGATAATTTGTTTTTCATTTAAATAAAATGGCATTTTCATAAGTTATATGGTTTCCTGAAAACAAGTAGAGGTGTCTCTAAGAAGACTGAATGCTCAAGAGGCATTTTGTGGTGGAAGGTAATTCGTATAGAGAAAACCAAATGGCAACGAGTGCAACGACCTAATTGAATGCTCAACGCGATGCGTGATAATATCCTCCCTCATCCTTCAAATGCAAACTCGGAAAGATCTAAAATCTAGAGATAATAGTTCTCCGAAATCAAATATGTTGTTTTCTGTGGTAGTAAAGTACTTTGCTATTCTTGAAAAAAATATTTATAAATAATTTTTAACAGTAATAGCAAAGCACGTATTTATTTTAAAAAAGGGCATTTCTGGAGAAGCAAATAGATACTTGGTAAAACAGTTAATTTGTGGAATAGGAAATACTCTATTCTAATTTCAAGAAGGTTTGTTGCAATTTTAGTAAAGCTGTGACTGAAAAGTTAATTTTACTGGCCCAACAAAGTAGGTACCTATTTTTATAGGTAGGTACCGAAAACATTCTGCCTGTGTTAGCCAAAAAAAAGTTTAGGAAATTTAGGCAATTTTCTCAGTGTAGGTTTACATGAACTCCATAACCAGGTACAAGTTATCGAAATCCAGGTAACTATAGTTATCAACTGTTACGCCTGGATTTATATTTTATTCTCTAGTTACATAGCTATCGCCAAAATTTAACTAAAAATTATAAAAAATAAAGGAAAATATTATACTCATTCATATTTTTATACCATTTTTTGAATATAAGGAACTTGCAATTAACTGCAACTATTGACTTTCCTCTTCTAATAATCGCTTTTTCAGTGAAATAGGCCCATTCAATTGTACAAGTACACTGTTGCCAAAAGATGGGTTTTGTAACGTCGGTAAGATGTGCTTGTCGCAAGATCGCGTATAAGAACCATATGTGTAAAACCGATGCGCCCCCTAGGCGTTTACCTGTTGAACTTATTCTGTATTAAAAAGTATGTTGTACCGACATTTCAGACCCTGCCAATATTTTGTCCCCCTTGCCCCTTGACCCAACTGACTACTTTTCTATAGGTAAACGTTGTCGAGCCCGGAGGTGGGCCTGACAACGTCAATTTTGGTCTGGGAAGTCGGTCGCATATACCGATTTGGGCCTGTATAATCGGTATAACAAATCTATATATATATATATATATATATATATATATATATATATATATATATATATATATATATATATATATAAACATTAACATACTAATTTACTCTGAGCAAAAATCAGAAGAGGACTGGCGAAGTCTAGCCTAGGGCTACTCTTACTCAAACAATCAACCCCCGTATTTGTACTATATCGATGGCACAAAATATAACTGAACTAAAACTAAATATATAAATTGAAATTATTTTTTGATAAGAAAGGGGCACCAAAGACAACTAACCATTTCTTTTGGTTTATTCACCCGCCAATTTCTCATAAAACAATGGCCGTTTTCGATTCGCAACCAGGTTCGGCGTGGTTGGTTCGGATATGACAGAAGTTGGTTGACAGCTTTTGAATTTGGTCTGTCAAAAAAGACGCCATGTTTTAAGGTTATAAAAGCAAACCAAAATTCGAATCAACTTGCGAAGCTGGTTCGAATTTAGACGGACCAAGCGATGCCTGTCACGTCAGTGGTTTGCAATCGAAAAAATTTATTGACATGTTTATGGATGGAACGTATGGAAGTTCATTATTGTCATCGACATAAAGGTTTATAATAGTCGCAACATCCACTGTTGGGTCAGTCTTAATAACAGTCTTATTTTGTTTAGTTAAACTCGAGGAAGATACATTTGTATTTAGATACGTACTTTTTTTTTGAAGACTCGACATAATGGTTATAAATTTTGAAACTTCGGTTTAAATTCATTGAATTGTTTTAGCAAAAACCAGCCAAAATGTCGAAGATACAATTTCAAAAAAAATATCTCAGTGGACAATCGTAAAGTCTTCCCTAGTGGAGGAAAAGGGACAATATTTAGAGGAAGAACATAAGACAAAAATTAAACTTATGAAAGCGTTTCACGATGTAGAAGTGAACATAATGAGAAGGGAGTCCGAAATAAGGATAACTGGAAGTGAGGAGGAAAAGAAGATAATCATTGAAGGCCGAAAACAGGAGCAAAAATATAAAAAAAAAATATTTGAGCTACAGAAGCTTCAAATGCTACATGAAATTAGAAAATAATTTAAATTAAAAAAATATATATTTTATTTTATATTCACACGTACCCTATAATTGAGCAAAATATTCATCAATTAATTGTCGTCTTCTTAAATTATTTAGGTTTTGTCTATATGGTTGTTGCCCGTGCACATCATTGTCGATATTGCTTCTTCCTCTTCTTGATTTTGGGGTGGTTCAGGTTCTTTCAATAAAATGGCAATATTATGTAACACAGCAGTTGCAATTACTATTGCTTCAACCTTAAAAAATGTTAATCTAATTCCAAAGGCTAATATTGCAAAACGTATTTTCCATATGCCAAATATCCTTTCAATCGGATTTCTAGTTCTAATTTGAGACTCGTTAAATAAAGATTCAGTATTAGTCACAGGATTATCAAGTGGAATGATCAAATTTCGTTTTATACCATAGCCACTGTCACCAACCATGAGATAATTACCAAAATTCCCTCTTTCAAATTTTATTCGTAGCATTAAATTTGCAAATATTAAGGCATCATATGTAGAACCTGGCCACCAACACACTAAATCCTAAAACGTGCATTTAGCATTGCAGACCGCCTGGGCATTGAATGAAAAAAATCCCTTTCGATTTCTACAGTGTGTCCCGCTAAAGTTATGAGCCTCATAAGTGCCAAATTCGAATAGCTATAAGACAAAAAAAAATGAAGTGTATCGGTTATAAAATAAAAATGTTAGAAGGGTGGTCAGTCCTTAAGTTTGAATAAGAGGAAATGAAATAACATATGCCCAAACCTAGAGAGGAATCTGGGCTTCTGCGCTTCTGCTTGAAGGGAGTCGGATTATCTCGACCAATAGACGATAGGCATTTCGTGGAGTGGAGGAAATAAAGCGCGGATTTTTGTTCTGGAGAAGCTACATGGGTTCGTGCAGCTGGGCTTCAGTAGATTTTGTTGAGCATCACTCGAAAATTTGTTGGCATTCACGGTCGAGAAAATTTCAATAAAACATGGGAAAAATTTTCACTACTATAATTAAACGGCTATGTAACTTGGAGACAATATACGAACATGGATGCAATCCAAAGTTCCAATACATGTTGGAAAACGACTTACATAATAAAATTCTTGTGAAGATTGCCTCATTTTTTCTTCTGTAGAAAGCATCCGAATAAATTCGTTATAGAGGCTGGCGATGTCTCTTGTAACTTTATGAACAATTCGGGAAGCTGTGCTTTTGTGTAACCCCAATAAAATCTCCTACCGCTTGCAAGAAGCTTCTGATCAAAAGCTATCTTTGCGCAAAAGTGTTACCATTGCTAGTTTTCAAGATAGTGGGCCTTTTTTTTTGGGTCGCGCTCGGAAGTGGTAAACTTTCGAAAATTCAGTCAGATTCCATAATGTGTTTATTTCAAGGTTTATTTAAACATTTTGGTCACTTTAACCTTCTCCAGTGAAACGTAAAAGGAAATGCTTCCTATTTTTTTGGTTTGCGAATTTAAGGTATAATTTTGCTGTAGTTTTCATTTCATTCACAGCATCGAGTCCAAAAGTAGTTTCAATTTGGTGGTAGTTTACCAGAATTTCACCCATGCTGCAGTGTATATTATCAATATATTTTATTATTAACCGGTATTCCTGCCTGAGAGCAAATGCTGCCGGAAATACCTTTTAACAAATTTAAAAACACGTACCCCCATGATGTTTTTAATAAAAAAATCCATGTACACGTAGGGGGCAGTGCGGGGTATGCGTTCCTGTCTCATCCAACCCTGCTACATAACCCTGACAGGGGTACGCAAAGGGGTTGTTTGACGTCGATGAACTACCTCCATCGGGTTTTGCCCTAAGTAGGGTATCAGAATCAGATTAAAGGTCACGATGTCCTCTATCGTATCTAAAAAGTCGATCCTGTCTCGTACGAACTTGTTGGAAAAAAGGCATTGGGGCACGCGCGCGCGGTCCCATCTTGGGCGGTTCTACACCTATCAAGTTTTGCCCTGAGTGAACTGTCAAATTAAAGGTTCCAATGTTCTTTATCTTTAAAGTTAATCCTACCGAAAAAGGGCGGCAGCTGAAGAGCGCGTGCGCCCCAGGTTCGCATTTCTAGTCTACAGCCCTGGCGGAATAGAATATAGACTATATAGAATATAGGACTTCATAAAAACAGTAGAAGGGTTTGATTCAAGTACCATACCACATTGTTGGCGTTCTTTAAAACAAAAATTGTTAAAAACAGTTTAGGAGTGTTCAATGTGGCTAAATGTACTCTTCCTTGGAGCTCACAGACTATGACTGGCTCGTCAAGGATGGTAAATTGAAGCCATTGTGGTATGTGGGCAATCCAACTCCCGATGCTGTTGAAGGCATTTTACTTTTGAATGAGGATGATGATGACTTGAATGGCAAAGAAGTTTCTGATTCTTGAATGAGAATATTAGGTTCGAATGGGTAATACGACTTTTTTTTGCGTCACATGTAACTATAGAATTAAAAATTTTCTGAAAGGTCAAAAATTGTATGATTTTTTTCGTATATCTGTGTATTTCTAAATTCTTCATGTATAATCTGTGAATTTGCCTAATGATTACAGTAGCGAATAAAAAAAACTCATTTGAAACAATTTTGTTATGTTACCCTTATGCAGGGTTGGCAAATATCATGATATTTATAATATAAATATCCAATTATCCAATATATATCAGATATATATCAAAATTTGCATATTTATTTATATTTTTAATTACTTAAATTAGTTCACGTGTTTATAGTAACTCCAGAAGTTAACATTTAGTTATCTGTCAAAATAGTTTCATAATATACTTGCTCTTAAAAACTTGATATTTCTTATATGTAAATAAAAATAAATAAAATAATAATTGATAATAATTGACGTTATGTAGACTGTTTTGGCCGAGATCCCTGTGATTTCCTTCTTATAAATAGACCACTACGGCCGTTAAATTTCTCAACTCAATAAAATAATAAAACTATAAAATAAGAAAAAAAGGGCATACAAATAATATTGATATATATCATGATATTTATAGCATAAATATCATGATATTTATCAAGATATATATCAGGATATTTATCGCTGATATATATCCTGCCAACCCTGCCCTTATCTATGCAAAATATTCTCACATAGCAATTTAGTGACAATATTTATTTATTTTATTTATTTGCTAACCAGTATAGATACATAATCCATACATGATTAAATATTAATGCCTCCAATGATGCATTCAAAGTTAAACCAGAAGCATATTTTGGTACCATTGTCGTATCTACATGTATTATTATTTACTTATACCATGATTGTACAATGATTCACAAAGTTTTTAATCATTCTCTTGATGCATGTGAAAACATACTTATTGAGTGAAAACTAAAACGTTTTTAAAACATTCTTTAATCAAATAGAGATTGTACAATCATTTATAACCACTGTAACCGCACAATTGTATACCATGATAAGAGTTTTGAATAGAGAGCAGCTATGAAATTGCAATCATGGAATTCTCTCCTTATTACCACTCCTGCCGGCCCTGCCGCCCCTTTTTGGCAGATTTTTACTAGGCAGGGGATCATCTTTATAGATCTTTAGCGAGGACCACAAAAATCTTTTAAGTAAAAATAATCGGCTTGATATCCTGTGATGTAAACCAGAAGACATTAATGGACAGTGAAATTTTTATGGAAAATGTGTTACTGTCTTATGAAGCAAGTTTTCCTGAAAAACCTATTTAAAAAAGAAAGAGAAAGAAAACATAATTTGGCATCAACTCCTAAGGTCACTGAGTGCAAAAAACAACTTGATATACTTTATGATCTTAGTAATACTTACTCCAAATACAAAGAAACATACTGTCATCAAAAAAGATATATAATAACCTTTCAACAAACTCCCGTAAAATGTTTTATCTTATCAAATCAATATTTTGAGGTCGGCTAACAAATCAAAAGCTGTTTGGCAGGTTGTGAATAAAATAGAGGGCTGTTACAAAAATCAAAAAACATATATGTTCGAGGGAAACCTGGAGATGTTTTGTGATGACCTCAATTATGACCTCTTCTTAGATGTCGCTAGCAATGCAGTAGGCCAAATAAATTGCAAACATAATCCGGGACAAAATATTTTTTTCAAACATAAATTTAGAGCAATTATCACCAGAAGAGGTACTTAACATAATAAAAAATCTAAAAAATAAAAAAAGGTACAGAACTTTGTTTACCTCTGTGCTTAATTATCAACAACTCTTTTCAATTTGGTATTTTCCCAGAGAAGTTGAAACAAGCAATGGTTATACCAATTTATAAAAAAAGGAGGTACAAAAAAATTCGAGAATTATGGACCGATCAGTCTTATACCTTCATTTTCTAAAATCTTTGATACTGCGATGTGTAATCAACTCTTAGACTTCTTTTTCATGCCTAATCTGCTAAGCCATTCACAAAACGGTTTTTTAAAAAACAGATCAATTGAAACTGCCATCTTTGAATTTATTGAAAAAAATTACGAACATCTTGAGGATAGCAAAACACTCTTGGAGCTTTCTTGGACTTGTCCAAAGCTTTTGATAGCCAGGACCATCAGATTATTTTGGAAAAGGAAAAACTATGGAGTAGTCGGCTCTGCTTTGCGCTGGTTGGAGTCATATCTTGCGAACACTTTATGGTTGCTCCCTGCTTCATTCCAGTTTTTCCTGTACTGCATATTTTTTCAAGTCTTAATTTATTGTTGGCCTTATTCTTTAATATTTTAAACTCGTTCTCCAATTACATATTCTAGATTTTGCTTCTTTTTATATGAGGGGTCGAGTTCCAAAGTGTAGGTACAATCTCCAATTTTCAACAAAATTAGATAGATGGCGTTTTAGATGTAATTTTTAGCAACATATTCATACCAAACCCGCCAATCTCAAGCATATTTTTAGTGTCGAAAATTAGGTTCGGTTCCATATACTGTACAATCTCCATTCATAATCAAACAGTACAAACTTCTGATTCATCAATTCAAGCAAAACCTAACTTATCTCGACTGCATAATATTACATTACAGATAGTAATTTTCAGAGTCGGCAATTTTTTTTGGTGCCATTATCAGCATGCTCCCACTCCACATGGTGAATACGTTTTGATGCCTGTTCAACAGAAAGGTTGTTTTTAGTAGAAATTTTGTATGTAGTGGTGCTTGTAGGTACTTAAGTCAGTAAGAGTATAGAAGTCTTATTTCACAATCAATTTTGGAACGATGAACGGTCAAGTAACACCTGTAAGTGGTGACAAAAAGGCTCGAGAAAGGAAGAAAAAAAAGGAAAAACGGACAATGTAAGTTTGATTGGAAGGTTAGGACATGATTTACTTTTCTATGGAACGTTTGTTTGTATTTATGGAGAAGACTGGAAAAGCGACCCAAGATTAAAATTTTATAAATTTGTGCTAGAGGGAGGAATCCAAGAAGAGGATTCCGAAAATTTGAAAAATACCCAATACTGCCGGAAAATTCCGAAAATTGCGATTCTGGTTTTTATTTTTTCCAGGTTTTATTTTAGGAAATCGAGAAAAATCAAGATTACTTTCTTGAAGCATTTTTGGGTGGCCTTTACTATGGTGATGTTATTTTAGAAATTCGACTTTGAGCCACCCTGTATAAAATTCTCAAACTTTGAAGAAAATGTTAATTTAAGAGGTTTTTCTCGCTTCCTGGAAATTTGTACAAACTGGAGATTGAACAGTTTGGAATTAGGCTTCTCATTTATTTTATCCCGTTTTTTTATTATGTCTAGGTGTTCTATCCACGTATCCACTTATAGTTTTTACCGAGATTATCTATAATGCTCTCTGAGCTTCTTAGATGTATGCATGGCATACTCTCCAATACATTGTTTAAGATTTTAAAATTATTTAGTGCTATGGTAATTTTACAGGTACCATTGCGATAAAAAAAGAGCTTTAAGCTAGAGGGATCAACATGCATATTTGTGTGTGGTTGTGTGGAAGAGCAACTATGTTGAACTACATTATTGTAATAGCTATTATATTGAACCTGAAATAAAGACATGTTATGACTATTACATATTATTAATAACAAATTTTATAAGGTGGTGATAATTTTTGACAGAACATCAGTGATGAGGGTTAAAACTGTACAATAGATCTTGATAACACGATTACAAACGGCTGCTTGCTAAAAAATCCTTTATGTAACAATACATACACTGTTGCCACACTTTTCTAACACCCATTACTCATGCATAATCTCTGGAAGAAATGTTCGTCAATCACCTCTCTATCATTTCCAGAATGGCTGAATTGAAAAAGGAAAACGGGAATCAACTTTTCAAAATCAAACAATATCGATCAGCTCTCTCTCTTTACTCTGAAGCTATAAACCTTGCCCCTGAAGCTTCTGCCTACTATGGCAACCGTGCTGCCTGCTACATGATGCTCAACCGTTACAGAGAGGCCATGGAGGATGCTAGAAAAAGCATTCAACTGGATCCTACTTTTGTTAAAGGGTAATAATACCTTCGATCATATGTTCTAAATGTACACATTCTTATTTTTAGCTATACTCGTATTGTTAAATGTGCTCTAGCTCTGGGCGATATAGTTACAGCTGAGACAGCAGCCAAACAAGCTGAACTGCTTCAAGTTGGCTCAGTTGCCAACGAATTAAGAACAATATTGACCCTGAAGCAACATGAAGCTGATGCTACTAAAGCTTACCACACTAAAGACTTCCGAAAGGTGGTTTATTGTATGGACAGATGTCTGGATATATCTCCGGCTTGTGAAAAATACAAACTCATGAAAGCAGAGTGTTTGGCCTTTTTGGGACGTTACCAAGAATCCCAGGAAATCGCTAATGACATTTTACATTTCAACAAGGGCAGTGCTGACGCCATTTATGTGAGAGGATTATGCTTGTACTGCGAAGACAACATTGATAAGGCTTTCAGCCATTTTCAACAAGTATTGAGACTTGCTCCTGATCATGCAAAAGCAATGGAGCAATACAAACGGGCCAAGCAATTAAAAAAGAAAAAAGAAGAAGGCAACGAACTGTTCAAAGTGTGCAAGTTTCAAGATGCTGTTAAAGTGTACACTGAAGCTTTAGAAATTGATCCTTTGAACAAAAAGACTAATGCTAAATTATATTTCAACAGAGCCACTGCCCTATCCAGACTGATTAAGTTAAGGGAAGCCATTGCGGATTGTACTGCAGCACTGAAATTAGATGATACTTACCTAAAAGCTCTCTTGCGACGAGCCAAATGTTACATGGACACTGAAGACTTTGAAGAAGCTGTCAAGGATTATGAAAAAGCCGCAAAAATGGAAAAAAGCCGCGAAAACAAAAGATTACTGCAAGAAGCCAAATTGGCCCTGAAAAAAAGCAAACGAAAAGACTATTATAAAATACTCGGCGTTGAGCGTAGCGCTACTGAAGATGATATCAAGAAGGCTTACAGAAAACGCGCCTTGATTCATCATCCCGATAGGCACTCAAATGCTAGTGATGCGGAGAAAAAGGAACAAGAAAAGAAGTTCAAAGAGTTGGGCGAGGCTTATGGGATTTTGTCCGATCCTAAAAAGAAAACGCGGTACGATAGCGGTCAGGATATGGATGATTTTGATGGTGGCATGTCAGGTAAGGAGGAGTAAATTGAGATTTTTTTTGGTCCTATAAAAAGCCACAAAACCTAATATTCTAGCATTTTCAATGGTTGACTATGATGTTAAACACAATAAATTTACTGATTTCACCTTTTTTTTATATTGAATATCCTCCCTGTTACTTGAAAAGTCCTTAATTTTGGGAGCGTTTTTTAACAGATGTTTTATACCTATACAGTAGGTATATACCTAGAGTGATTTCAATTTTATCAATTTTTCCAAAATCCGAAATTTTTATGTCCTTAAAGTTACACTAAAGTCAAAAGCATTTTAAAATAAGTGCCCCTTTTTAGGGTTGTTGCAGAAAACCTCAACGTCATCAAAAGCATGTCTTCAGCAGATACAGCATGATTCCTATTCCTACAGATAATTTTTAGGGTAAGGTACCTAACTTTATTATAAATTTGTTTCAATCTACATCTCCATATCTTTCTGTAGGAGAAGTAATTACGTGTTGTATTCGATTAAGAACAAATCTTATGCCATTTTTTGATAAACGGAATCTTCTCAGAAACTCCTCATCTGAACATTTTTCAAAGTGGTTCTCCCTTTCTTCAAAATGTTGAATCCGCATCAATCTCCGGTCTTGAACTATGTCTACTAGTTCAAGAAATCTACATCCTCACTCAATATAATCAATTTTTGATTATTTTTTTTTGATTTATCTCTATTCTCATTTTTATATCAATAGAGAATAACAAAACAATATGTGTAATCAAAATATTAGACAAAAGCAAATTTTAGGTTATAATTTGCTTAAACTTAGCTTTGTTGCCTTAAACCACCAAAATATATGACTTAACTTGAGCTAAGCTTTTCTAGCAAGTTTATCTCTAAGTTCGTATGGTACAACACACTTTGTTCACTGAACCACTGTCTGTAGTTTATCCTACCCTAAACTCCCAATGTACAACCGGGCCTAAAATTAGTTGAAAATATTTTTTAATATACAAGGTGCTCCGTTTATGAGATATGCGACAGAATTAAACTGTTTTTTTAAATGGAACACCTTGTATGTGATTGCATATTTGGGTTCTACATAACCACCTGAATACAGTTTTCAAGGGGTGCGAATACAAAATCTACACCTTCAAAAGGTTGGAAAGAGCACTTGAACATCTCCAAGAATGGGTGGAATTTTCCACTGATGAGCGATTTGGTTACTTGACGGCTTGTCTTTTTAATGTGGGTCAAGCAATTTGCCCGTATTTTCATATCAAAATACCCAAACTTGCTGCTAACAGGCCTAAATTCGTAGAGCTAGCTGCCAAGTATGATATGGGGGTGAAAGAAATTATAGAGGAGTCTATCAACATACATGGTATTTATGAGCTGTATAATGTAAAATGTTAGGGGTGTACCGAATACCACAGTGTGAAGGGGATGTCGTATGGCATTACTAAAATTATTGAGGCTGAGAAAGCGGCACCACCAGTGAATTATTTGAAACTATACGGCCAATCAACGTGGGGCGCCACTACCGAAAAGGAATGTCTGGCGGTCTTGTTCGCCGTTGCGAAACTTCGGCCGTACATTGAAGGAACAAGATTCACGGTAATTACGGATCATTACAGCCTGAAATAGTTAAATTCTATCAAGGACCCGGTCGGTCGTATCGCAAGATGGGCCGTTCGATTACAACAATACGACTTCGAGATCATTCACAGAAAGGGCAAAGATAATGTTGTACCAGACACTTTATCTAGATCCGTCCCTGCGATTGATGTTATCGACAACCCTCAATCTTCTGATATCAATAAAGATGCTTCCTCCCTGCCTTCTGATAAGTGGTATGCCAAGATGATGGAGAAGGTCGTTGACAATCCTGTTCAATATCCTTTGTGGTGGGTTGATGGAGACAAACTCTATAAAAGAGCCAAAAATATTTCCTATCCCGGATTGTCTAGTTCGGAATCTTCTTGGCGTCTGGTTGTTCCAAAGGAACAGCGGGCTGATATTATTCGTTCCCATCATGATCCGCCCACTTGCAGTCATCTAGGTGTTTCCAAGACTCTTGCTAGGATCGGTCAGAAGTATTACTGGCCTAATATGAAAACGCACGTTTCCCGATATATACAACGTTGTCATGTTTGCCTTGGTACGAAACCACTTCAACAAGCCTCCGCTGGAAAAATGCTTAGTCAACAGCCTACTGCCACTAGGCCATGGCAGGTCATCAGTGTCGATATTGTGGGTCCTCTTCCTCGTTCAACATCTGGATACTGTTATATCTTCTCCGTGTGTGATGTCTTCAGCAAATTTTGCTTATTCTTTCCGTTGCGGACTGCTACCGCCGCTAGTGTGGTCAAATGGTTGGAAGACCATGTTTTGCTCATCTACGGTATTTCAAAGAAGATTATCGTTGATAATGGCCCCCAATTTCGCAGTAACCTTTTTCGTAAAACTCTTTCTGGTTATGGTATTAACCTTCGGTATACGGCGAATTACCATCCGCAAGACAATCCGATAGAACGTGTTCACCGTGTTTTGAAAACCATCCTTACCAGCTATATTCATCAAGATCATAGACACTGGGAGAAATTCTTGGCTAAAGCCGGCTGTGCTATTAGATCCGCAAAACATGATGTCACGGGATTCACTCCTAATTTTATCGTCTTTGGACGTGAAATTCAACTTCCTCATGACCAGGATCCTTCTATCTCAATCCAGAACTCAGTTGATTTTGATCCCCGTGAGCGCTCTCGTAGTTTAGCGAAACTCTTTGACGATGTTCACAGGCGTTTGACACAAGCGTACGAAAAAGCACGTCCCGCCTACAATTTACGGCGACGTGAAGATCACTTTGTGGTCGACCAAAGAGTTTGGAAAAAGGACTATCATCTGTCTGATGCAACCAAACATTTCACCGCTAAACTTGCACCGAAATTTTCTGGTCCTTTTACTGTGTCACGAATTGTTTCACCGTGGACGTATGAGCTGAAAAATCAAAATTTTCGTCTTATAGGTAATTGGCATGCCAAGGACCTTAAAGCTCATCCACCCGACGTTGACGTTGCTTAGTTCAAGGGATAACTTAATTTCAATCCAATTCTCATATAGTTGTTGTTTGCGCGTTTTCTTTGGGTATTCCTATTTCAATATCTTTTTTTTTTCTCACTTTTTTTTTTTGTTTTTTTTGAAGAGGTTGTGTTGTTACGGGATAATTTTTACCGCACCAAAATAAAAGGAAATAAGCTTATTCACCTCTCTGAATAGCATACCTTCCTCAAGCCACTGTTTTCTATCCGATAATTGTGGTCACACTTTTCATTAAACTTTTCATACTTTCCAGAATCATTAAGTTAGAGGTTTATTAATGGAATTGATTTCCTGTTAGTAGGGTTAAAATAAATAGACAATTAATTTATTAATAAAACAAAATCACAATATTTACACTAGAACAGCTGATTGTCTGATCCGAGTAGATTGTCTAGATTGACAGCGCTCCAAATAGAGTCAGTGACCGGTACTAACTTAATTTGAATAAGTATCATGCCCCAACTACCATCAAAATCCCCAGTACCTTCCACCTTGGAGTTTTGACAGAGACTTTTTAAAGGACATTGCAGGGACAGTCAGAGGTCATTCAGGTCGAGGACTTTCCACGATTAAGTGTTCGGGAAAACTCCTCAGGCACATTTTGCCGATTTCTGAGTTGCCAAGTTTCGCTCATAGATCTAGGGTGGCTAATCCGGTATTTTAGCACCCAATCGCCTTGTGCAGATTTTTTTTTGTGAGTCGAAAAAGCAACGTGGTCAATTGTTGGTTCCTAAAGGCCAAAAGTAATTTTGGTAAGTGGTTTTTCTTATTAATCTTCTCTGTTTCTCTAATTCCTATGTTTTTTCTGTTTCTGTTAATTATACGGTTAAGTTCCGAATATCGGACATACTTACCTTTTGCGCCACGCCCTGTCTCATAACGTCCATTTGTTTCAGGCCTTTAATCTTCAGTCTTAGACGTTACGTTTTAATCGTCACCTTTTGTTCGTCACGCTTAGTCCTTAACTTGAGTAAAGGGTTAAACGTTGAGCTTACTGTGTGTTTCAAGTAGTACCTTCAATCTTCAGCCTCCTCTAGACCATTGGAAGCTTTAGTGACTCCTAATTACTAAAACTTCAGTGCCCAGGGCCAGTTGCTTCTTGCTGCGGCCTTGATCCAGACCCAGGCCATCGGAAACATTGGAAGATATTAGTTCCATCCGTCAGGTTCCTCCAAGAGTTTAGGGACTACTCAGGTTTGATAAGTGTGTTGTATTGTCTTAATATCAAACCTTACCAACCCCTTGTTGGAGTAAATCACCACAACAACGCAGTTCTTCTATCTTACAATTATCCTTCAGATTAGATGTTATTATTTCAGTTTTAATCAATTATATATCTTACCTTTACTATATGAAATTTACCATTCAGGTTGGGTATTGGTAGGTACTTAAATTTTATTAGGTATCTGGGTATTTATCCTACCTATATTGTTACATAATATTAAAGCCCTTCAGGTCACGTATTGTTACAACTTTGATTAATGCTGCACTGAATACAGGTAAATACTTGTACACTGGGGTTAAATGGCCATTTACGAAGGTACTGCATTTAGTTCTGTTTATTGATTATGTAATGTATTTATGGCCAATTTTATCACAGGCTAATTTGAGTTAACTGATAGATTCCTATTATTAAAAGTCATTGACTAAAATTTATTACTATTTTTCAAAGGTCATTAAATAAATAATTCAAATTTGGTGCTTATCAGCTGTTGGCTGCCATTTAACAATAAATATTATAAATAATTCTTTTGGCAAATAAAAATCATACACCGGAGTGAATTTTAAGCGCTTTCATTTCATTTTAGTTTGTTATGCTCATTGAGGTTTTTGGCAGTGCTTCCATTTAGGATTGAGTGTTTCCTGTTTTTAGTTCATAATCGGTAGTTTCGTTTGACTGTAGGGTATAGAAAAACAGGTGGCGCCTTTTTAGTTTACCCACACCACTCTCCACTATTGAGAGTTAGTCGGACACCCTAAAAACGAAGCTCCAGTTGCTCGATTTTGGTTATTGGAGTACCTCAGCCACCTTTTTGTGTATTAATTTATTGTTAGGGTTGCCCCTAGTTTGGA